ATTGAGGACTTGAATTGGAGAAGATTGTAGGCGTAGGAAGAACGATGATTGTTGATGATATGATAGAGGAATGTACCTAGGAAATATTGTCTTCGAATGGAGGGGAAGAGCCACTCTAACTCAGTGTAGTGGTGAGAGACATGGTAGTATCTCGGGGCACCAATTACAAATCTCACGCAACTGTTCATTAATCTTTTCAGTCTGTCGCGGAGCCAGAGAGTCCATCATACACCACACAGCTGTAGTCAAAGTGGGGAAAGATGAGAGAGGAAACGAGGAGTCTACGCGTATGGTGAGGTAGGAGATGGTGGAAGCAATGGAATAGTTTGAGGGTAGAAATTGTCCGTCGGGAGTTGTGAGAAATATGGTGACTCCAGGAGAGGGTTTGATCAATAAATAGCCCTAAATTTTTTACTGAGGAGTAGAAGGATATTGGCTGGTCACCAAGGTTTATTATGGGAAAGTCGGTATAGGATTTAAGGAGGGGCTTGGAAAATATGACAATGGCCTGAGTTTTTGAAGCATTTAACCTTAATCCGTTTAAGTTTGCCCAGGCACAGATTCGATCTAGGTCTGCTTGGATCTTAGTAAATGCCACCAATAACTCAGGGGGAGAAAAGGATAGGTATATTTGAGAATCGTCTGCATAAAGGTGGTGGGAACAATGGAGAATTGAGTCATGGAGGTCATTAATATAGGAACTAAAAAGGAAAGGAGATATGCTAGATCCTTGGGTAACTCCAGAGGATAAAGGCAGGTAGGCAGATAGTGGTTGATTAGGAATGAAAACTGCTTGGGTGCGTTGTGATAGAAAAGATTGTAACCAAGAGATGGAGCTATTGGAGAAGGAAAGTGTTAGTTTGTTGAAAAGGATGGGATGGTTAATGAAGTCGAAGGCTTTTTCTAAGAAGTCAAGAGGTATAAGGACAGTTAATTGTATATTATCTATTGCAGCCTGAACATCATTGGTAATTTTGATTAAGGCGGATTGTGTGGAGTAGCCGGGACGGAAACCAGATTGGAGAGGATCAAGTTGGTTGGACTTTTCGCGGAAATTGGAAACTTGGGATTGCACCAATCTTTCTAGGGGTTTTGAGAGATTGGAAAGAATTGAGATTGGGCGAAAGTCTTCAGGAGAGGATGGATTAGGCTTTTTATTTACAGGGAGTACAATAGCTTTTTTCCAAGAGGAAGGGAATATTGAGTTCTGTAGGGAGAAATTGTAGATGAAAAGGAGAACTGGTAGGATTTCGGGGAGACATAATTTTATCAATTTGACAGGAATGCCATCTGGTCCTATGGAATTGGTGTGGGATTTCATTACTGCGGTTAGTAAGTCAGTGGGGGAAATGTCGGAGAAATAAAAGTCATCATCATTAAATGATGACTCAGGAGCAAAGTTGGAAGAGGAGGGAAGAGAAGAGGTAGAGGAGGCAGAAATAAAATGTGAATTTAAATCTTCAGGTGAAAGGGCAGATGAAAGGGCTTCATGGAAGTAGGAAGCTTTAGTTCGCCGGATTCTTGTTTGTTTCAAATTGCGGAGCACCCTAAACGCTTGATAGTCATCTGTAAGCCTGGTACGTCTAAAGCATCTACGGGCAGCATCACGCCTCTTCTGCAGATCCTTAATTTCTTGACACATCCAAGGTGCAGGCCGGCGAAAGGTTGAGGTTTTTATGGGACCATGGGCGTTAAGAATATTGAGGAGATTGGAAGTCAGGATCTCAACCATGGAGTCGATGGAGGAGCAGGAATATATTTCGTTCAAGTCTAAGGTTTCAAGGTCAGATAGCATTTTTTCACGGGTGAGAGTGTCTATCTGACGGAAAGTGAAGGTTCTCGGATGAATCAGAGGGGTTTGGATATTATATGTTATTAGGATCATGTCGTGAGACGATGAAAAGGATACTGGCAGTTGAGAAGAGGAGAGGAGATTTAGTTCGGAGTCTATAATGAAGAAATCTAACCAAGTGTCGGCCTTGTGGGTGAGTAGGATAAAAAGGAACAATAAAGAGATGGAGGGAAAAAAATAGGTTTTCTAGATAGGTTTTGTCTTTGGAATTAGAAAGGAAATTGGTATTGAGGTCACCGGCGATGATTATTCTAGGATAGAGGGGAACAAAGTTGAGTAGGGTTGATTCTAAGGACGGATCAAATGGAACAAGGGGAGGACGGTAGATCACTATGTAAAGGAGAGGGGAATTATTACAGGTAATTTCTACTAGAAGGTACTCCACTTGTAGATGTTCGGAGGGTGGGGAGTAATCAAGGATTCGGGACTTCAGGCTATCATGGACAAATATGGCCACCCCACCACCAGTCCGGCTGACCCGGTCGTGGCGGATGAGGGTGTAATTAGGTAAGGAGACAGATGAGGACGGAATATAGGGTTTGAGCCAGGTTTCTGAGATTGCGATGATGTGAAAAAAGTTTTGAGAAAAGTACTACAGGAATTCATCATAATGGGCGGGAAGGGATTGCGAGTTAACATGGCAGGTGGTTAGGATGCTAGACATGGGGAGGATTTGAAGGGAAACAGTCAGAAATTAGCATAGAGGAAATGAGGCTTGTATCATATTCTGAAAAAAAATTTAAGATAAGTATTGATAAACAAAATAAAAGTGAATAATGAAAAAATAAGTGAGTAATAAGGGTAAGAAAATAAACAAATTAGTAAACAAAAGCTATGAGACATTTTAACCAAAATCTTCAAAATCATTTGGGCACCTGTACAGTCAGGCAAAAACTTCAAGATCCGATGCCTAATTAATCAAGATTACTTGATGGCCGTCGTCTTTTCGGCATCGCACATTGCCGGCAGCGAACCATACGTATCTTATCTTATGTAGCTAGCCAGTAGAGGTGCCTGTTCGTTGGGGTCATCTCCTCGCCGAGATAAATTCGGTGGCAGTTATTTTATGACGTTTTTATTAAAAATTAGTTGTTTGCTTGGTTTGACAAGATTATTACTGACATTTTTTGGCAAAATGAGCTTATTGGTGCTTATGTCTCATCTTTATCTACTGAAAACACGGATCTAACTATTTTTGAGATTTGTAGATAAATAGCTGAACTACGAATATGATTAGGTTCTAACTGCTTGGCATTTTTTACTTCCTTTGATTTGACAAGGCTTTGTCTGCAATTGGTAATTTATGTAGTCGTTTATAATAATAACAAGGAAGGATTTTCGTTGGGAAGTTGTGGAGAAGGTTTCATAATTAGGAATTTTTTTGAGTAGAAAATGAATTTCTGGAAATAAAAGAATATATAGTATAATATATCATTGGAAAGTTGAGAATTTTAGAAAAACAATATCTAACATATAAAGCCGTAGAAGATAAGAGAGAAATATTAATGAGAAAAATATAAAGGGGACCCTACACGGTCAATCGGAATTGCAATAATGACGTTCCGAATTGTCGTGTAAGGTAGTGAATGAAGTACTGATGGTGGTGCGCTGCGGATTTCCGAACATCCGGAAATCAAAGGTTCATTCACGAGAAGTGGAGGGGGGACTGAGGTAAAAGTAGTGGGGAGACTAACCATACTGCTGGATAGGTTAGGTTACCTAGGCCTCACAACCATTATACATTTCTGATTTTCATTGTATGTAAATAGTTAAATAATTTTTCACATCCCTTGTTTATAATTTTAAACCATCTTTAACTATTTCTTTTAAATAGTCAAGTGGGCAACAAATTAAAAAAAAAATGAGGAAACTTCACAATTTACTTTATGAAAAAAAAAAACTTTAACGTTGTGAATATTTATCAGTTCTTTTTCCATTTTCCTCAACAAATTTATTATTTTCGCAATACCTTTCCTTAATTTTTGTAAGTAGTAGACTTATATTTTACTAACTACTCGTAACGCTTCCCTTCCACTTTGCCGAAATGTACTTTTCTTATTTCCTCCTTCACTACCATCTTCACCATTCGCCGAGTGGTTACGAGTGGTTGAAGGATAACCCGATCCCAGCTGAGCTGCCGAGAAGAGATGCAGTTGCCTGCTTCCGCCTGGCCACTGGTCACGACTATCTGCAGAGTCATCTCTACAAGATAGGCGTCGCTGAGGATCCTAGTTGTAAATTGTGTCATCTAGGAACAATGGATGCAGACCATCTAGACGCATGTCCTGCCTTGAGGGACATAAGCGACAAAAAATTTTCAAATATACATATCAGAAAATCTAAATTATACTGGGCAGCAAGATGTCGGATGGCCAAATGACCAACGAATGGCATAAGAAAAAAAAAAAATATTTTACTAACTTTTGTCAAAACGATTTTCTATGAGACTGACCTTACTACTAGATAGGTTAGATTACCTAGGTCTCGTTATTAAGTAAATAATTTCATAAAAGTAAATAGTTGTTTATATCCCTAGTCTATATTATTATTAACCATTTTCAACTATTTTTTCTTTAAATAGTCAAGTAGGCAATAAATTGGAGAGAAAAAAAAGTGGAAACTTCACAATTTACTTATAGAAAAAAATCATTAACTGTTGTGTTTATTTGCCATTAATTTTTCCATTTTTCTTAACAAATTGATTATTTTCGCAATACTTTTCCTAGATTTTTGTATGTATTTGACTTATATTTTTCTAACTTTGGTCTAAACGATTTTCAGGCACTAGGAAGTAATTATTATATCTCCGTTTTTCTCTTGATGCCCAATATTATAAATGACAATGTCCAAATAAGCATATCTATGCTGTTTCTTTGTTTACAACTGCGCTAAATTGGTATCAGCAACGATAAGTAATGATCAGTAATGATTGAACGTGTAAGGGTCTTCATGATCAAAGCGATAGCGGGCAATCTTGGAACTTCTTGTGACGTTCATTCATGAATTACCGTGTAGGGTCCCCTTAAATAATAATTTGTGAAAATTAATATTACTTAACGGAAACCATGTGTTTCCATGGAAACTATGTGAAATTCCTTAATTAAATTCAAATTTAAAAATTATTTTTAAGTTTAAAAAAAAAAAGGATATATAATCCACTGAATCGAGGAAATGAAATTGTTTAAAAACTATTTAATTGTACTTATGTTAAAGAAGAAGTGGAAGATTAAAATATTTCATGAAAAAGTGAAACATTAGTTTGTAACCTTAAATACATCTAATGAAATTGAATAACTTTAGATACAATAATATATTTAAATAATTAGGTATGTATGCTCGATTTATTCCAACAGACCATTAAGTAACATTTTAGAAAATTAAATTAGTGTATAATTTGATGATTTTCTCTCTGTTAAATCACATTATCCATTTATAATCAGTTTGACGATTTTTGACTTATCGATACTGTATTGAAAAATCCATAATCTGTATTTTGATAAATTTTACAAAGAGAAAAATAAGAGTTTAAATACATGTAAAACGTGATACCTTCCTTGCAAAATTCGCTAACGATACCCCAATCTTATCATCCAACTCTGATTCCGAAATAACAACCTTAAAGCTGCAAAAGCACCTTTCCTTGATTGAGCACTGGTGTAATAACTGGCGCATTGAAGTTAATTAATCCAAATTCCAACACATTACCTTTACACTCCGACGCAATTCCTATCCACCAGTACACTTTAATTTCATCTAGCTTCCTTTCACAAACACAGTCCGGTATCATGGCTTTCATTTAGACAGAAGACTAACATGGAACCAACATGCTAGACTCAAAAAACAAGAACTCAATCGACGATACGGCCAACTATACAGACTACTAAACAGAAAATCTAAACTTTCTATTGAAAACAAATTACTTATCTACAAGATAATCCTGAAACCTATATGGACATACGGCCTTGAACTGTGGGGAACAGCAAAATCCTTTCAATCTAAAGTCTTTCGAACAATAGTTGCTACTCCATTCTATGTAACTAACAAAAACCTACACTATGACCTTAATATCTAATTTGTCTTAGATTTTATCCCCGGAAAATTCTCCAAATTTCACCAGAACCTTACCTATCATCCAAATCTCTTTGCACAATCACTCTCCAGCACCACCCATCCTTACAATCCTCCTCTATGGTTGAACCGGCAGTGGCCCAGAGATCTTCTGTGAAAACATTAGAGTTTTGCAATGGCCTTATTCTCTATCCAAGTCATGTATGTGTGATTATTGCGCCTCTGCTCAGCCTCTACTGGCCCTTAATACCAGTGTGAGGCGCTGGGATGTACCTACACATTGTCAATATTTTCTAGAAAAAACAAAACAAAGGCATCCATTTTGAACTTGATTTCATACTAATGAAGGATATTTTCGTTTTATTTAGAGTTATTTAGTTTTAAATTTACATTAAAGTAAATATTAATACATACATTTTTTTTTTCAGAAAGACAAATTGGAAATGCTTTTGAAGATTATGAACAACACCCAGCTGTTCGTGCGCGTTCCAAAATTATCGTGAATAGTAGAGTGCCGATGGGTCCAGCTAAAAACATTCCTCTTTCTTTAGAATGTAAAACAAAAAACTCGAACGATAAGTGTAAACAGGCCACAGCTCGAGGGGGCACCTTCCTAACAAATTTGGAAGGAACGTCTTTGGGCCCTGGTTTTCCACCAAAACCGGTAGGGTTATTGGTAAGACCTAATGTTTCAAGAGAAGTACCTTCTACTTCCGCTCCAGAAGATAAATTCCTCGTGGATGATAAGCCACCAATGCCTCCACCACCACTAAAACGTAGACCTTTACCCAAGGGCCGAATACGCCGGCCGTTTCTAGACAGTAGTGAAAGACAAGATTCTTCCCAGGAGGCCATAGATCCTATAATTTTAGGACCTCTGTTCTACGAAGACATTCATAATCCTGAAAGCACTTCACAGGCGGGAGAAAACAATCATGGAGCTTCTCAGGAAAATTTTAATGGATCAGGAGAACGGAATAGAGCTCTTCTAGATAGTTTCAATGAGCTAGATCATCCTGATCCAAAACTACTTTCCAAATTTAAAGGAAAATTGTACCCAAAATATTTTGCTGAAAAGAGAAATTTAGAACAAAAAGAAAAGGAGGAACTTCATGGATCAAATGAAGAGAAGGAGGAAAGCGATGAAAATACTGAAGAAGCCGATAATTCTAAAGAAGAAGATGAAAATTCAGCAAAATCTGTGGAGGAAGAAGAACCCGTACCTGTAGAAGAGGCCCCGGATGAAGAAACATCAGAGGATTATGAAAGTTCGAAAGAGGAAGAAAACCAAGATAATTTTGAAGAAGAGCATAGCTCTCATCATTCAACGGAGGAGGAATCTAACGAAGAAGAAGAAGAAGAGCCTGTTTCAGTTTCGGAACCAGGTAATCAAGCAAGCTCAGAAGAAGATGAAAATCCACCGAAAGAGCATTCTGTAGAGGAAGAAAAGACTGAAGATTCTGAAGAAGAAGAAAAGCCAGAAGATTCTGAAGAAGAAGAAAAGCCAGAAGATTTTGAAGAAGAAGGAAACCTACCACCTGATACTCCTCCGGAGGAAGGGTTGGACAGTCCAACATCGGTTCTACGTGGCTCAAATGGTTCTTCGGAAAGCAACGCACAAAATTCGTCAAATTCAAGAGAAGAAGAAGTTTCAGAGTCTGAAGAATCTACAACTAGTGAAGGACAAAACACAGCTTCTGGTGAAGCAGTTCATTCTACTGAGGAATCTACAGAGGATACGGATTATACAGATTATTCAATCAATAACGATATTGATTCATCAGCACCTTCAGAAGGAGATACATATCATCCATCAGCAGAAGAAGAAACTAGTGATGAATCTAATGAATCTAAAAAAACAGCCTCTTCGTCAGAAGATACCAATGAGATACGACCAAGTTCTATTGAATCTCAGGAAGAAGTCAATGAAGATTATGGTTCAAGAGAAGAGCACTCTCAAGAAAATCATTCTCAGGAATCCGGAGAACAACAATCCGAAGAACAGCAGTCGCAGGAAGGGCATTCTCATGAAGAGCATTCTCAGGAGGAGCAATCTCAGGAACAGCATTCTCAGGAGCATTCTCAAGAACAGCAGTCCGAAGAAAATCCAGACAAACCACCAAATGAATATGATGAAGAAGCTGACGAAGAAAGCCCGAGAGATTATTACGACATGCCAGATTATGATAATACAAGCTCTGAGTACGAAGAAATATTTCCAAAACCAGAACAGGAACCAACTAAAAAGCCCCAAGTTTACTATAAGAAGAGGCCTGCGACGTTTTATTACATCGTAGGAGGATCCGGAGGACAGAAAGAAGACCCGAAAAAAGAATCAGATGACGTTGACAACGGATCTAAACCACTTGATTATGAAGATAACAAAATCAAACAATCAGAAGAAGTCGACAGTTCTACGCCATCAGCTGAGGATCACCCGTCATCCAGTTCAGATGAGAACTTCAGTAGCATGGGCTTCGAAAGCTTTGATTTAGATTCTGTATTGAAAAAACCCAAGGTTCAGTACGTATTAACATTTTTTTTATATTACTTTTTTGATTTTCTTTATGTGAAGATACGACTATGACAAAGGAATTTCGTATTATCTTGACATTAACACATACACACGAACATTGTCTAGTATTTGTTTTAAGTGAGAAAAAAATAGTTACCAAAAAATGCTTGTTTATGAAAAAAAGTTGCAAAACAATACCATAATTATTGCTTTAGGTGAGATGAGTTCGGTGAATTCATCTGGTAGCTCTTGTTTCCAGTTCCTTTTGCTTTACGTTCTCAGAGAAGTATTTTTCTCCAACTTCAATCGTTTTCATTTTAGCTCAGATTAAAGAAACGACCATTTACCTGTCTTACGAAAAATCGAGGGCGTTGAGCATCTGAGGCATTGCATGCGACTCTTTTAGATCAAATAAATGTCTGAAAAACAATGGTGTAAAAATTACAGGGACCGAATCATCAACATTCCTTTCTACTAAATAGTTTTTTTTTTCTTTCTTGTCGGTTTTCAAGAACTGGATTATTTTGAACTCAGAATGAGTTAAGAAATAACAAGCCTTTATAAAAGTTTCCAATATATTTAAACGTATATACTCTTTATTTATGTCACCGAAAAAATTCCATGATTAAAGCTGTATTTTGTCTCAGATTTTAAGATATCACAGATTTATTTGTAAAAAATAATGTAAGTAAGTAATAATGTGTTCAAAAAGTACAAAGCATAGGAATCCTGATTTTTACTGTTTTTATTACTTTTGTAATAGTATACTAAAATTTAAAATTATTATATTTAAAATACTCATTACAGCTATTATATAATAGATACACAAAACCGTCGCCTCCTACCGTTAGAATATGGTGTAGTTAATAGAATCCTGATTTTTTAAAAAGTAAAATGCTTTAGATAATTTTGAAGTGTTAATTTAGAGAAAAAAAACTACATCAAGGTTTGTTTAGATATTATATATACCGTTATGCTATTGAAAATGGTCGGCTAATTTTCCTTGAAGAACCAATGAACTGGAAATCACTTTTAAAGTCTTCCAGCGGTGAATGATGCAGGGTTACTAGGTTGGAGATTTTCCCCCTAGATTTTCTTTTTTTTTTTTAAGCTACAGGTAAAGGTATTTACCACTTTTATCTTATTAGAAAAATTAAATTGAAATGAGTGTGAAACAATAGTTTCAAAACACAAATTTTATTATTATTATTTTTATTAATTATTTTATTTACCTAACTTTTTGTTTAATAAGCTAAGAGAAAGATGTTCCCATGCCAAGTATTCTTCATTGTGAAGTCACATTTCTACGTTGGGACTGAATTAAAATATTAAATAAAGAAAGTGATCACACCTAATCACGCCTGAATGCCTTAAGATTTAAAGTTTTTCTCACCCAGCTCCGAGTTTTGCTGTTTCTCTTCAAGGTATTGGGACAAAGTTCCTCATGAAAATAATATAATAATTAAGTAAAAGCGGAGGTGCACACAAGGCGGTTTTATGGCGCAAGTTACGCTCTAACAATTTTTGAGTGGGCACATTTTGACGGAATTTTGAATTCATGAGGGGAGAACATTTCAGCAGAGTTATGAATAGTTTCAAACAAAGGGAATAAAAATCTTAGCAAGTGTAATTGTATATAACTTATGTCACTTTTATTTCTAATATTTTTAAGAAGAGGAGAGCAATAAAATATCTTAGGGAGGGGAGGAGGAAGGTTCATGCGCCATTGACCTTTGGGGGGGGGGAGGGGATGGGCACCTCTGTGTAAACCAGTAAAGTGTATATTTTAGTGTTGCCCAAAATCGGTCTTGGTCTTGCACTTTGTAAGACCAAGACCAAGACCAAAACCTCCTAACCTCCAAGACTGATAAAAAAATTGATTTTTTGAATAAAAATTGAGGCAAAATAGTTACTAATACTCGACAATTTTACTTACTATATATAAAAATCTGGTGTAACCAATATACTTTTGCATTTAATTCTTCTAATGTTTTATTCAGACTTAGTTAGATTTCTCGTATCTAAAAAAATACAGTAATATCTCTCTAGTAATAAGCTAATAGGTAACTACAAGACTGTTATGAGAGTCTTGCGCAAGACCAAGACCTAGACCAACGCTGAGTTTGCAAGACCAAGACTCGTCTCAGTCTCGCATTTGGGCAACACTAGTTTATGTTGACCCTAGAACACAATGCGTCTAAGTGACATTTTTCTCATTTTGAGTAAATCAAAGTTAATAATTGAAAAAATTTGTTTATATGGAATTGAATGTATGAACATGCCAAAAGATTTCCAGAATCTCAGCATATGTGAGATAATTTTATGGGGCTCAGTTTCTGGTAATTATCATCTCTATTTCTTCTCCAACCTGCCATACGAAATTTGTCTGGAGGTTTTAGGGTGGTTCTAATATTATTAAAGTGACCAGAGACCGGAATCCTAAGTACACCCTCTTCATTCCTAACCGTATATAGTCGTATAAGCGTTTATAAATTGTTGCACGCATCCTTGACGATATTGATTTACATCATGATTAACGCATCAATAATTCTATAAATGAATCTCTGAATAAAAATTTAAAAAAAGGTCTCTAACGATGAATATTAAAGAAATGGTTTACTAAGCCAGCCGGAATTAAATAATATTTTGCTTCTTTCATAATTGTGTATTAAGAATTTCAAATTGGAAATTACAAACGTTCATTCATAATCCAATCGATAATTCTAAGATTTATTATTAAAATCCTTTATTGTTAAAATCACTTTATAATCAATGATATTTTTATCACTACAATAACTAATCAATGAATGTTTATCGCTAGGACCGTAACCTAGAATCAATGATGAAATTATTTGATGTAGTTTAACAACTGCCTCCTGCAGTGCCTGATGCCACGCCCTGATGAAGACCTGCAAGGTCGGTCGAAACGTCGGCGTAATAAATTAATAATACTATTTTTATAATTTAGTATTTATTTGACCACACCCACCGATCAACTCCTTCTCAGATAAAATTATTTAATTGAGCGAAGATTAAGAAAGCGTTCAGCCAGATGACTGAATTGACTGTGTTGGAAAGAAATTTTCCTTTCTTCTTGGAATTCTTTAAGAGGAATGTTTTCTTGAACTGACAGTGAAGAAATTTATTATTAAAAAAAAAAAATGGAGAAATCATCTCGACCTTGCTTAGTTAAAATATGACTGGCCAAGCAATTGATAAAAAGCCATCGAAAAATTGTAAAGAAACGACGTTAAGGGAGCTTTTTTTACCCAATTTTCCTCCAAATGTAGATTGAAATTTGAAAGAGACTACTAGATCCATGGAATTAATAAGTATACAAATGAACAACTAAATATATTTATTAATTATAAATTAATAATGTGTCTATTTTTCAATTCGCTGTAATATATAACCCCAATGAACTTTACGGAATTTGTCTTTAAAGATATAGGTAGTTCTCTATCCATTACAACCATCTTTTATTGTTCCTCCAACAATAATACATCAATTTGTAAAATGTTTCTTGGTAAATATGTCATTATTAACAGGTATAATCTATTCAGTAAGAGTGGCTTTGTTGTTGATCTCATTTTTTTAAATTATTACTTTCAGTTAAATTATGAGATGTACTATTTTTCCATGATATTACAATGCAGTAAAATGACCTTATCTTAACTCATAATTGATATACCGCAATTTTTAGGACGCCATCATTTCATCATTGTCGACATATGATATATATGTATATAATTTTGTGTGTGTGTCTCAGAGGGAAAATAAGGAAGAGATAGCCTGTCAAAAATATAGTTCAGAACCGCTGAAAACACGTCCAAATCTCAAACCATTATTGAGAAATTCAAAAAAGTCTTTTTTTTGTGTGTTTCCAACAGTAAAAGTAACATTGCGCCGCTTGGTTAATTTCGAAGTTATATTGAAGTTGAGAGGTCAAAAAATGTAAGATACAGCAGTACGCGTTCCCAGTACTTTTTTTATCCTAGTATGATGGGTCCGAGAATCTGACATATGCAAAATACGCGTTGCCCGGCAACCTGAAAATTGAAGATAACATGATAAAGAAATTATGAGTTCCGTCCCATTGTCGAATGAGGGACTTTTAACTCTGGCATTAATACCCCGCCCTCTCCCTAGGGTCCAGGGGAAAAAAACCCATGTACTAAAAAAATACTGTTTTTCTGAGCTCTAGTTTTTACTAGAAAATTCATTTCGTTATAAAGTTCTTTTTGTTGAAAGTGATGTCTTTATTTTCCATAGTTTTGTGAAGAACGATTTCATTTATGAAATTATTTCTCTATCGATTTTATTAGAAACAGTTATTATTGATGCTACGTGTAATTTTATCGTTATAAAAAATTTCTTTGTATATAATGAGCAACTCAAAATTTTGTTCTGTAATATTCCACAAATATTATTGGGAAATAGTAATTTTGTATGGTTTACATTGTTTTGGCTGCTGTGCTATCTTTCGAAGAGTGTACATTTTCCTAAAAATTTGATGCTGTCTAATTGGATATTCGTCGTAGATGCTGAAAATACCGAAATGTTCAGTTTAACTAGAGAAATCTGTGTTATGGAAAAACAGGGTTTTCTTGGAAAATCTTGATAACGATATGCGATAAGAAGGTGCAGTTGGTGGTACTGAACTACATCATTGTTTTCACTATTTCACCCTTGATTACTGACATTTGCACCTTGGTGTGTATATAAATAATCAATATGATAAAATAATAACATATGATAAATTAAAATAGCCTTTTTCATAAGAAGGAAATTTAAAGTAGTTTTTATTTGTTTAAGTTTAAGATAGTTGTACTTTTTCTCTTTTGTTTTTTTGCAATATCAATTTTTGTCATGTTGCTCCATTAACAGAGAAATTAAAAATCCTAAATTAAAAGATCTTAATTTTAAATAAGTAATAATAAAGAAAAGTAATAAAAAAGTAATCACAGTTGAGTATGTTTGCAGAGAGTTGAAAAGACAAGTTCCTACAAGAGATTTGTATTGTAGGCGTAGGACACGGTACAGGAATCGGAAGGAACGGAGAATGAAGAAACGCGTGCGCACGCCTTGTTTGTCTCTACACAATGCTTCAAGTCTTTGTAACGAGCGTGACAGATTTCGTTCACGCTTGTCAGGGCCCTGCTGGAAATCGAATCATTTGCTAACACATAAATAAAGATGTCAGACATTGGTTTCTCCTTCTTTTATGAATTGAAATATCGGTACTGTCTTTTTTATATAACGAAGAATAGGATAATTTATTTTTAAAAAAATACTTATATTGAATAAAGCAATAAACCCTATTATAACAGATATGCTAATATGAGTAATTCCATAGAATAATGCCTCTTTATTTTTATTCCTCTAAATACTCTACCAATTAAAGAGTTTTTCTGCAAGCAACTGATGCTTTCTTAGGTCTCTAAAATAACTATAGTTTTTTCTATCCTCAATATAAAGTACTAAATCACAAGTTGACGTAACATATGTCTGTCAATTACAGTCTGGAGGACCAAAGTGATTTCTGCGCCCCCCTCCTCTTCTCCAATCCTAAACTAAAACAAGATCATCCCTGCCGTTGTCACCACATCATCCCATTGGTACCATACGTTCAAGATTTAAATAAAATAAAACTTATCTGGTTAGTGAATGGAAGGATTAAAAAAAATAGATATTATGGAAAAACATTAGGAGCCTTAATGATTACAGTGCTGGAAACCAATTTTGGTCTGGTTCACAGGTATCAATTTTTCAATTGGTAAATAAAACTGACATAAATAAATGAATAACTAAATGGTACGACACCGGTTTAAGACATTTGGCACCACCAGGAAACAACGTCATGTCCTCCAAATCATTAAATTTATTTCGTCAATCTGTTTTATATGAAGTAATATTTGAATTTTATGTCATCAATATATCCCTAATTCAGTTGCTTTATTTATTAATTATTAATAATACTTTGTAATTGTTTTTATTCCTAACAATCCCCTGGGCGATTGCCGAACCAGCTCTGTAATCCAGAAACGTATGATCAGTAGTTACAGGGGAAAGTTTTTTTTGTTGTTTTTCAATTATGATAAGGCATAAAACATTTTAAATTAAATAGCACACTACAACATTTGTACCATTTTCAGTAGCAGAAACCAGCCCAAGTTGTCCCTATTTACTGTTAACTTTACCCAAATAAAAACGGACAGTTCCTGCTAATAATAATATTTTTTTATATGGATTGATAAAGAATATTAAATTTATTGTGTTTTTTTCCTGGAAGTGACGACAAGACAACCAGATCGCCAGTCGCTGTAATCAGTATCACAACTCCACAGTCTCCCACGACTAAGTGCGATGACAATGATGCCAAAAAGAACGAAGATTCAGAGGACCAAAAAAGATTGAAAACACCTCTAGGGACTCCCAAGCCAAATACCATACAACCAGGAGATGTGGTAATTATTTATGATTTGGTTTTGACTTTTTTAGAAAGTAAGGTTGGCCAGTCATTATATTAGTTGTTACAATGGGTGGCTTTCAAGTGATTAGATCAGGAATACCTTGGTTTTATTTATTTTTTGTATAATTTACTAGAATCTAGAATAGTTTAAGACAGACGACAAAATTCGTTATTTATGAAAGCACAAGGCTCATATTGATGATGTCTTGATCATTTTATTTATTTTATTTTTTTAATATTTGATCTCTAGAAAGGTTAGATGTTGTGGAGAATGGGTATCTTGTCTTAATGACAAAATAAAAACTGAATGGACATAACATTTTCTGAAGAAATGTGATTCATCTGTAGAGGTAGAAAGGAACAGAAGAGAGATTTTACATCAACAACGAATATCAAAGAATCAACTTAGTTTTCGAACGGCGACAATTACCCTCATCATAGTTTCATATCGTTGGTTTATTGCAGAAAGATACTTACTACATTTTTGGTATAAGTTAACATTCAAAAATGTTATTGATAATGTTTACCTTCTTTATCTATGCAAAAACACCGTACGTGCATGAACATAGTACACAATATTTTATTTATCATATTTAGTTATAATGAGTGCGCAATGTAGTAATTTCGTAAAGAGAAAATTCATCAAAGCTCCTAATTATTTGAGGTTTTGAAATGGCACTTACTGACTTTTTTTTGCAATAAACTGGCGATATCTTCTTTTATTGACTCCTGCAGGATTTTTAATACGTTGAATTAGTGTTTCCCAAGAATCTAATTTTACTCAATTTAATTGAGCTTTGAACCAGCCTTACTAATTAGCCAGTAATAATATGTGAGGTCTGGAGATCTTTGAACAAAACTAATGCGACCACTGCGATCAATCAAACGATCTACAAACCTTTTATCCAAATGTAGCCAAAGGAATACTCTCCTCTGAGGTTTTCCTAAAATGAAAGGATCAATTAAGCAACAGTCTACAATACCACACCTCGCGTTTACCGAAAACCTATGTTGCACCAAAATGTAATATGAACAACATCGGAATGTTAATACATGGATAAAATACTTTTTATGTGTAGTTACCGAATAAAATTTATACAAATGAAAATCGGATAAGAATGTATGATTTTTTATTATTATCATTTTCCTGTGTGCAACCCACTCCTGGAGTTTGGCCTATGTATCTTAATGTCATCACAGAATCATGTCACCATAATTTCCTTTGTATTCAAAAGTGTCATGTTCAAATATACCTTTAATATTTTATTTTAAAGAGTTTACTAACATTAAATAAGAGGTTAATTATTTCTATCCCTTTGCAGGTTAGCATCACCAGATCCCGCCCTGTGAATTTCGGGCTGAGCCCCACCACTCCGACTACGACCTCCACCTTCCGGCCGGCCACCATCTCGGCCATCGGGATCGTGAAGCCGGACGGCTCCATCATCGCGAAAGTGGTGAGCCCGAGACCGGGAGTGCAGAGCTCCACCTCCTCCGCCCCCACCAAGATGGAGGGCGCTCAGGAGGATGCGGGGACGAGATCCACTCAGGTGCCGTGGAAGACCTTGCTGGCCGCCAGGGAGGCCACCGCCCTCACGTACCTCAAGCCTCCCCCCATCGGACAGCAGCAGACCTGGTTCCTCAGGCAGGCCAGGGCACCACGCTCCGTCGACTTCCTCTCCAGGCCTCTTTGATCGGATGCACCTGACGCTAAAATTGAGTTCCTATTTGATGAGCATCGGCATTATGGAGATGCCATTGTCTTACCAAAGTCAAACAAAATCCATTGATGAAATGATGGTTGTTACTCGTTAATATTTAACGAAAATTAAAGTGATAAGTTATTAGGTTGAACAAGACAAATATTAATAAAAATAAAGATATGGTGCTATTTACAAGGGATGTTTTCGGAAACCAAAAAGATTTACAATCGGTACACTTAATGGCTATAGAAGTATTTTTAATTATCTCACCAAAAACCCTTATAAATAAAAGTATTTAATAAAAAATACATAGGTATATTTCTCAAGCATCAAGTATTAGTTAAGGATAGTTTAAAAAAATGGATGTAATTAATAGCTTTAATACAAAAAGTAAAAAAATGACTAAAAACTGAACAAATAATACAATGGAAGAACTTCATGGTAGCTAAAACCCTATATAATAGAATTAAAGTTGTTCTATTCTCTTGTTCATGTCCTTTCATGGATTTGACACGGTCAAACCTACCTATTCTTGTTCTACAGAAAAATCAAACATGATCTTAATTCATAACTATTGTATTATTATTATAATAACTATTGTTATATTATCATACTACATTATTAACATAATAATTTATAAAGTAGACTTCGAAATAATTGGAAGTTTTCCTATATTTCATTATTTAATTACGAAATTTATTTTCTTGGTAAAGAAAAATGCATAATTAACAATCAATTATGAAAATGTATATATAAATTGAATTTATAATGAAAATGTTAATTGTAATATAAATATTAGTACTATGTAAAGTATTTTATTCAATTATGTAACACTTATGTTCGTTTACGAATTAACTAAAAAGACTTTAAAATTTATGATATTATTTCTTTAATTTTAGATTTTTCTATTGATTTGTTTTTTAATTAACCGAACGAATGTATATTAGTGTTACTACAACGTATATATATTACCAAATAAAATATATTATATTCTGAAAAAATATAAACGTTCTTTTTCCAATTTGTCTATTTATTTTGAGATGAGAGTTTTAATTATAGAAATATTTTATAATTACTTAATTAAGGAATTTTTTTCATTGTAAAAGTATGCCTTTTTATGATATAAATAAATTAGAACAAATTAAATATATTGATGTATGAAATAATTTTAAAAAACAACGAAGAAAAGAAAATTAATACAATTAGGTTAGAAAATTAACCCAGTACACATCTAGACATGACTTCAGCCACCTGCAACATAACAGTTTTATATAAAATTAAATGTTTTGAATCCTTCATTCTAACGAAATAGGATACATGCGGATTTCTTTTTGGCACTGATGAAAACCTACAATGTATTGATTGAAATGTATACATCGAAAAATAATCAAAATTGAATTGAGAGTCTTTTTTGACAGACTCTCAGACCATCTACTCCAAAAAAAAAACTTTTAAAATGTCTATTTTGTTACGGAAAAAAATTTGACAACATACTGATAGATAAAAGATATTGCAAATAAAATATACCAAACTGTCTTCGACTTAGAAATTTAAATTCAGAGAGTAGACTAAGATATTGGGACAAATCATAAAAAATATATAACTATATAAAAAATCGAAGAAGAAGAAACCAAATTGAGAAGATCCAAAATCTTTGAAAATACAACAAGGGACTGATAGAAATATTATTTGGTGCAATAAATATGTAATAGACAGATGAAGAGAGTTGCACTAGAACCAGGCCATTTATGAGAACCGAATCAGGTGGCAGAGGACAGCAGAAGCCAGTGCAGTTTTTCCGCTGATTAAGTGCATTTTATAAAGAACCATTTCAAATATGCTAAAATTAATCACTGATTTAGAAAGATAAATGTATTTTCTAGATGTTTTATCTCAAAAGGTTTTTCGTTATTGTTGACCATTTAATTACAAATGACGCTTGATTTTCAACTGTAGTTTGAATTTACTGGTATTTTGTATTACCAAGAGTAACTATTTTTTTTTTTTTTTTGTTGTTTTCTCATTCTCTGACTATCCATCTTTAATATAAGATCAATTATAAGGATATTAAGCCAACCGTTGAATCGCAATGACCGAATGACTAAATCAAGCCAAATTCGTCAATCTTGCATGTTTGGGCGCCATTTGGGGACATTGCGGCCAGTTGGTTTTGTGAGGATGTTGGTTTTTTTTTATATATAGTTACAAGAAACACAACGATATCTAATTTATAGTGATGAGGAGAGAGGGTGCATGGGAGGAAGGTCTGGCCCACAGACAATCTTATCTCCCCTAATCATTCCCTCCGTCCATCACCCCTCCTTCAAAATATTAAAATGTTTACTTCACAGACTCATTACTGACTGGTTATTGAAGATAGCAAAGACTATGTAATATGATCAGACAAGAAAAATAATTTAAATGGAAAATAAAATTTTCAAAAATTCGATAACCTCTATCTCGTAAACTAGGGCTCGTAAACTATCAGTCATATGCCTTACAAGAAAACAAAATAAATCTTTAATCCAATTCAATGAAACTTACGATGCAAAAGATTACTGAGCTATTCATATTATCCTTATAGATTATATTTCTCAAAGGTTTTTTTTTTTTTTCTTATGCCCTATCTTTATTAATTATTCATCAAATATAATAACTGACCACTCATTTTAAAGATTTTCTTCTCCTTTAATTGGAAAAACTTGTCACATCTCCACAAATTTTCAGGAAAAAAATTGATAAAGAAAACGAAAATTTATTTGCGAATAACTCAAATAGATAAAATGTTTGTTTCTCGATTACACCAATAATTACTTAAAAGACTAATAAATTCCTTGCAAAACAAAAAAAATTATCAACATAGATTACAAATTTGTATATTTGAAACATTTTGTATAGACTGAAGAAACGAAGTAGGTTCAAATATTTTTTTAAGATGAAAGTTGAAATTTGTATTTCGCACCTCGAAAGATCCTCAGATACGATTGTCATAGTAATCGGAAAATTAAAATTGTTTGCATAAAATTTTCAGATAGTTTTTTTTCTGAAATCATATAATTGTAATTACTTCAAAATGGCGCCACCTATCCACACTAAAATAAGCAGGAATGTTATTGATGTCGTTTTAAAGAGCAACAATTCAGCTTTCCATAATTTTAGCAACCCATAATAATTTTAAAGATAACTAAAATTCCTATAAAAAAAGTCATAGAAAATAAAAAGATACAGCTTATTGTCATTAGTGAACGTGTTGGTTAGGGCTTGGTTGTATGAAGTTTTGAAGGAATTTTCTTTTTCTTGGTTTATTACAATTACCGAGAAAATAAGAATTGATTCTTCTATCTTAAAACACGTCGCTTTATTTTATTTCCTTATCATTTTATTAGTTTTAATTTCACCAATATTCTATGTGAATTGAGTAATTTCACGGGTCAACAAGTGGAAATATAATAGGCGACCAGCAACGATTCAGAAGAAAAAGGCAGATCTAAGACTATGGCAGATCTAAAACAGGTCCTTAGAAACGTAAGAAGTAGTACTGAAGATTGTAGATTTTAAAAAAATCTCTGTTTCCGAGGTCAGAAAGTAAACTATCTTTAGAAGATCCATTACTGAGCTGAGAGTTCTCAGAAATGAAATTGATGAAGGGGGGTGGGAAAAAAACAATCTGAAAAAGCCACTCTAGTATAATATGAATGAATGGGAAATCGTTTCCTAAAATTACAGATACAAGAACTTAATTATAACTTCAAGAAATGTATATAACATGTGCTAAATGAGTAAAATTTCTCTTTCAAGGGGAGTGTTATCCAGAAAATGCCCTAGAAATCTCAAATAAAGGTTGTAAAATGCTGCGGTAGCAAGTTCCAATACACGGCTGGGAGATATGGACTCTAACCTAAATTTGAAAGGAAAGTCACGATAACCGGGGCGATATGGATTCAGAATTCTCAGGCATGCAGGAGGACCAATATAGAACTGCTTACAGAAATTGGTCAATCTCTACCTCATTATACGAAAGTCTAGAGAAGGATGGGAAGAACGTGTCATTCAAAGCAATCCATCAGGAATTTTCTGTACAAGAATGAATGCCACAGTGACCAAACACTAAGTGGTAGACCAAGAACGAGACTGATAGATACAATTAAGAAAACTGGACAGCATATTCCAAGAGATGCATCGTATATTTTCATACTAAAATTGACCATGACGGATAATGAATTATAAAAAAGAACATTTCAAACAATCCAAAAAAACAAAACAATTATTTGATTTGAGTTGGCTATAGTTATAATGTAATGAATGTCTCAATAGAAGGCAAAAGACCACGTAGATGACCAAAAAGCAGATGTATAGAATCAACAAAGATGCAATAGAGCTGCTAGTAGATAAACAGAAAGAAATAGTCCAAGACAGGCAGAGATGGATCAGTTAAGGCGGAAAAGATCTACATGGTCTGTAGTAATGCCAATAGAAAAAAAAATAAAGTTATAATGTGTGTAAGTAAATACGAATGTTTAATGACACACACACAGCAACTGATATTTTGAGCACAAATATTAAAGACGTTTGACCATATGATAACGACAATTTTTGTGGCAAATATTTTTTGTTTATTTATCTTATATGTTGAACTAAATATTATTTTGTCATATAAAACATTTATAAGAAACTAAAAATAGATATGATGAAATAAAATGTCTTTTCATTCAATATTCTTTCGTTCGGTTTTCGAAAATGGGGTAACGATTACAGTAAGAAAATCAAACATACTCTGTATAGTTTTTCTTAGCGCATACACATTTCGGTAATGGAATTTCTTTTTTTTTTCCCTCTTATTCGGAAACATATTAAATTCAAGGCGACAAAAAATTCCACATCAGCACTTCTGCTTGTTATTCCCACCATGTTTTAAGCAAATTCGTATAGATCTTATATTCGTATTACAGTTTTGGTTTAAATGATGTAACTTTCTTAATAGCAGCATGGGGTTGTTATATTTCTTTTTTTTTTTTTTTTTAGGAGCAATGGCATAGTTTAGTATTTAAACAACTTTCCAACGATACATCTATTTTCCTCAAACTATTTACCTATTGCTTTAAGTTATCGATTAATTCGCAACGGAAGGTATGATTGGTTGTAGTAATTACTTCTTTTTTAGTTTCTATTACTGTCACATTGTTATATTGTAATTAAATGATGTTTTATTGAGTTGTATAAAATTGCTTATTAAATGAATATATTAATACATAATTAATTAATTATAATATTGTCAGCTGTTTAAGAATACTTTAAGTAAACGTTTATTGTTATTTTGTGCAATTTTTGATACGATAATACGCCGTTAAAATAAATTAATAGATAGCCATTGAAAGGCAATCGATATGATTACTGAATTTTTACCCGATGAAGCATTTGAAATATACGAAGGCCCGGCGAACCTATACAAAATAAATGTTGGTGTCTTGGAAGCTAATCAAGTGAGATGGGTAAATCTGCAGACGCGAATACAAGTAAAATTTGGAAAAGAAAGGAAGTTGGGAAGAGTGAAAGAAAGCTCGGAGCGGCCTTATTACAATGAGGTATGACACATTCACTTTTTATTTCCAGAGTGATATAATCCGCGCTACAGACCTTTTTTCAATCAAATTATTAACACTTTTTCTAAACCGTGAATGTTTCATCTTGACGTGACCTACACCTTTTTTATTTACGAATATTCTCGGAAATCAGGAGTTCGGCGAGAGGTAAACTATTTTAATTCAATGATGTATTAAAAAACGTTAGGATATCCTTTTGTTTCCCCCTTGAATCGTAAGGTAATTTGATCACAAAATCTAGAAAAAAGGTGACCTACAATAATATTTTGCAGTGTTATCTATATAACCTCATTATTTTGACATGTTGGGGGATGGAGATAAG